TGAAGAAATTGTGTCAGCAGATGAAAATACACCAGTACCCACAGCAGCTCACAGCAGCCTGTAACTCTGCTTCTGGCATATGGGACACTGACTTCTGACCTCTGAAGTATCAGGACTGTAGACCTGCACCACTATGCCCATCTCTAAAGGCATGATGTAAGATAAAATCTTTACATTCTTTTGTAAAAATTTGTCTAAAAAAAAAAAAAAAAAAAAAAAAGGAAGGTCAGTCAGGAAAGTCAGCATTGGCTAAACAGCAGGTTTGAGGCCAGCCTGGGCTATATGGAGCCTGTCTTAAAAAAGCAAAAAACCCCTCATAGTTTTTATACTGGTATCCTTGTCTACAAGGGAAAGACAAGTTCTTCATAGCTAGTGTATTAGTGCCCCCTCCATGTGTGTATGTGTGTTTAGGGGTGGGTGTAAGTATGTTAAGGTTTTGTTTGAGACAAGGTCTCATGTAGTGTAGGCTGGCTTCAAACTTGACATTTTCTTGTCAAGTCTTCTGTCTCTGACTCCTGAGTGTTGCGTGAACTGCTTGCCACACTTGGCCTGGAGTGTTGGAATTTTATGGTTAAACTTTAAAAAAAAAAAAAAAACATGTCATGCAGTGATGGCACACACCTTTAATCCCAGCACTTGGGAGGCAGAGGCAGGTAGATCTCTGAGTTCAAGGACACCATGGTTAGCACAGCAAGTTCCAAGATGACCAGAGATACAAAGAGAAACCCTGTCTCATTGGAAGTGAAGGGGGAGTCAAAATTTAATGCATAGTAAATTCTAGCAAGGGTGTCTTTTCTTTTTAAAAACTGTTAAAGGTATTTTGCAGTCATTTGTGTCTCATATTTAACTCTCATGTAAGATTTTTTTTAGAAGCTATTGAAGAAGTCTGGTGTGGAGGATCCTGATCTCAGGTTAGACCAGGCTGCATAATAAGGCTAACTCACTTTGTGTTCTCCAGAAAAGGAAAACAAAACCAAACTATTGAATACCTGGGGAGAATATTTTTCCCAGTTGAAAAATGAACTGGAAGTTTTTGGTTGCTTAAAGAGATTATTTCTGTAGAAAGGTAAGAGTACCATCTAGATAAGAGTAAAGGAGAAAATAGATAAATAACAGCTGTGATGCAGGGGAGTTCCAGCATTAACATTTTGCATTAGCTGTGCTTGACAGCAGGTTTTTCTCAAGCAAAGAGTAGTGTCTTTCACTTTTTAGGCACATATTTGAAAGTGCTTTTGATCCAGATGCCCTAACCTTACTCTGATCTGAGTTAGACATGAGGCAGGTCACCTCATGTTATCATCTATGACATGGGGAGAGTACCACATCAGGAGGTAGTTTTGATAATTTAAGTCTTTAAAGCCTGGAACAAGGTCTGTGTAAGTACTTCTCATATTACCAGCCACTTGTGTGTAGCATAGAAACCTCATTTTGGTAGTTTTTGATACTATCTGTCAAACATTATATACAAACATTATATACTTAGCATAAATGAAAAGTTTTATCTAAGTTTCTATAATAGCACTATTAACCACAAATATCTAGAAGTAGCATATACTCCCTGGGAGTTTGGTAGTTTCTGTTTTGAGATTGGCCTTGGACTGTTGGTCCGGCCTTTTACCTCACTGAGTTCTGAGATTACAAATTTTTGCCACCATGTGTGGCTAAACTTGCTGGTTTTAGCTGGCATTTATGGAGACTAACTATTGGTGGTCATGGGAATTATATGTGGGATATAGAAATCATGATTAAAGTTCATTATATGATCATTTAACTTAACACACTTCAAGACTATCTAGTACTCTCCTATTCTGCTCACAGCAAGCATAGGCATAAGTAAAAATGCCATGTAGAGCTGGCAAGATCGTAAAATAGGTAAAGGAGCTTGCTGCAAAGCCTGACAATCTGAGTTTGATCTCTGGGTACAAGGTAGAAGGAGAGAACTTACAACTTTAATTGTCCTCTGACCTCCACACACAGGCTCTTCTGTGTGCACACAAAAGAAATAATCTTTTACTTGTAAACAAAGAGGAAGACTGACTCAAGACATGAAGTTGGCCAGTCTGCACAGCTTCTGTGTATGTTCTGTATGTTATTGGGGCCTTGACCTTTAAATAACTGTTGAAAGAGGGGCAGCTGTTTGCACATGTGTTGGGTAGGAGATTTCGGAGGGAAATACCTGGCTAAGTATATGATCAGTCCTTCTCCCTTCACTTCAACTTTTAGAAAAGGATCTGTCTGGGAGAGACATATCTAGATGTGAGTCCAAGTTTACTGGAAAGAACTATCTTCCAGGTTTGTCTAAAGCTGTGTGATCAGAAATCGGTTAAAAAACTAGAATGTCTCTACAAAGAGACTTCTGCATTTTTTTCTTGCTTATATTGCATTATATTGCATTAGAATATGAGTGTTTAGTAGAATCATAGCTACATGCATATAGTCAGAATTTTCACTTTTGTTCTGGGCTTTGCATTAAGCATAGTCTCCTGTTTCCTCCTTGCATTGACTCTTCAAGGGAGATTGTGTACTTATCCTCTTCTCTTTGGCCTCATGATCTCTGCTGCTCCTAGGAGAGCACCATTGTCACACTTAGGCTTTATCTTAGAGGATAAAATAAGTAACTTGAGCTTGACATTTTGCTGCCTTTTTTATGGGGGGGATCCTTCCCTTTACTGCATCGTAGTCAGTGGTCCTTACCGCTTCCTAATAGACAGCCTATTGAGTGATAAGTTTCCAAAGAAAATTTCAAGATCCTGAAAGGATTGAGGGAAAGCTCATCTTCAGCGTTAGCACCAAGTTCCTGGCAGGTTCTGTATTGGAGCTGATATGCTGAGGTTTTACTTAGCATTTTAAGGGTTGCAGTAGAGAAAAATAAACAGGAAAGGTGAGTTCATCACCTATATTTGTGCTTGTTTACATAAAATCAGAGGCCAATTCTTTTTTAAAAGTAGAATTATTTGGGGCTGGAAAGATAGCTTGGTGTGGTTTAAGAACACTTGTGCTTGCTGATGACCTGGGTTTAGTTCCTAGTACCCATCTCTATCTCCAGTTTTAGTTGCTCCAATGTTGCCTTATAACTTCCATTGTCACTCGTACACATACTCATACTCATACACATACTCATACTCAAACGGCACAACACTCATACAAAACATTTTTGAGGCATTCATACATGCATATAATCTATTTGGATATGATTCATCCCTTTCCCCTAACTGCTCCCAGATTCACCCACCAACTTTTTAAAAATTTATATTTTATTATAACCCTTGGTGTCCACTCACTGGAGCATGGTTGACTTTTACTCTTAGAGAAAACTGGTTGGGTTTAGTAAGGAGGTACACTTTTGAGGCAGAAACAGGCATATCTGAGTTCTGAGCCAGCCTTGTCTACATAACAAGTTTCCGGATAGCCAAGGTTACACAGAGAAACCCTGTTTCAAGAAACACAAATGCATACCTCTGACTAACTCCCTCAGCCTCTGTACACTGTCCATAGTTTCTGGGCTTGGGTGGTTCCTGGAGGGTGTGTGTGGTGATCTCGAAGTCCAGTGGAAGTTGCCCAAAGCAAGCTCTAGAGCATTAGCTCCTTTTTTCTGTAGTTGCACATGCCTCCGTTATCAGTACACTTAGATTCCTGTGTAAAACCTTACTATCTGAACCTCATTTTAAGGAGTTATTTCTCTCTAAACTAGAATTCAGAGATGATTGTGTTTATACATTGGGTTTTTCAATATCAGGAGAGCTTAAGTTTATAATTTACTATTCTTCTGTTTTTGATTTGAAATTTTAATTAATTTATTGAGACAAGGCCTCCCTTTGTAGCTCTGGCTGTCCTGCAACTTGCTTTGTAGACCAAGCTTGGCTGGAACACAGAGATCAACCTACCTCTGCTTCTCCTGAAATTAAAGGGTATGCATAGCTATGCCTTGCCTGGTAATGAAATTTTCTTTTCAAGACAAGGTCTCTCTATGTATCCTTGGCTATCTTGAAACTCACTCTGTAGAGCAGGCTGGCCTTGGCCTCGAGAATGCAGAGATCCACCTGCCTCTGCCTCCCCAGTGCTGGGATTAAAGGTGTGCACCACCACTGCCTAGCATTTGCCTGATTGTGAATTTTAATAGTAAATAGTAATAAATGGATAATCCCAGAGCTGGCTGTGCTAATGATAAGGGATTTGTTTATAGTAAAACCAGGCATATAAGTACGTAACCAAATATGTTTAAAAATAAAACTTAAAGCAGGATGTTCTGCCTTATGCTTGTAATCCTAGCACTCAGAAGACAAGGCAGGAGTTTAAGGTTAGGCTACAGAGAGTTCTAGACCAGCCCCAGGAATGTAGTTGGTGTAAGACCCTGCCTCAAAAGCAGAACAACAGCATGCTTAAAATAGTAGTCTTTCATTTGACTTATGTTCAACATTTTAGGCTTCGTTCAGAACAGAAAGCCTAAACGATAAAGTTTATCATGTTAAAAAAATCCTCTTGTTCTCAGCCAGTTAGAACCGAAGCTATGCAAGGATGATCATTAACATTCAAGGAAAAGGGGCTTTTGATGGTCTACGGAATGATGTAGGATGGGTGAGGTGAAAACTTCAGCCCTCTGGACCATCCATATGAAGACTGCTCCAAGAACAGGCTAGTATTAGATGGTAAACCTTTTTCTTTTCTTTCTTTTTTTTGCTCAGGGACATAAAACATTAGTTAGCTCCTTTTTCATTATAGGCTTACTGGAGAGTACTTCACAAGGTTACATTTTGCCTCTAATTGGACGTGTACACAAGAGTGCCCTCTCCTGGCCATGGTAGGGGTACCCACCTGGCTTTTCAGGCTCTCCAGTTCCAAAGCTTTATAGTCCGAAGCTGCAAGTTATCCAGAATAAACTCATTAGAAAAATTCAAATTAATTTTGGTCTTAGTTTAAAAAGTTTTTTTTTTTGTTAAGATGGATTAAAAAGAACTCTACTGACTGCTCTATTTTTGTTAACTTGGTTTTTTCTACCATAGGTCTCAACAAATGGCAGCTATTACATCAGACAGTGACGAGTCCTGCTGCTCCCTTACAGTGTCTGACAGACCACTGTGGATTCAGACTGGGAGCATTGAAGTTAACAGTGAAGCGGGCAGGTCTGTCTGTCTTAAGCCCTGCCAGGAAGTGAAGAGGGCACCACATCATCATTAACCATCCCTGAAGCAGATTAGGCTAGCCTTCAGAAGACATTAGTTTTATTGACCTTGGTAGTTGGCTGTACTTCCTTTAGGTAATAATTTCCAGGAACTGAAAACACTTTTCTAGAATAGAGCCTCTTGTAAGCATATGTATTGAGAGCAGCCTTGTGAGTCAAGCTTTACAATGTAGGTTTATGTTAGTTGGCTGATTCTTCCTGAAAATTAGAGACTGGTTCATTTTTTTTTTTCACAGTTTCAGTCTTTGTCACTTAATATTTGTCACCTTTGTTACTTATTATAACTCATTTGTTACTTATTACTGTATGCATGAGATTGTAGGGGATGGGAATGTGGCTCAGTTGGTAGAGTGCCTTTGTCTAGCCTGTACAAAGCTAGGGGTTCATCCCTAGCACTGAATAAACCAGGCATGGTGATACAAGCCTGTTAATCCCAGCACTTAGGAGGTGGAGGCAGCAAGCTCAAGATCATCCTCCTTACCCCAGTAAATCCGAGAAGAGCCTAGACTACTGGGAGTATCTGCCTTTAAGAAGAGAAAAAATAATGTTTAAGAATATGTATGTGGGGCCTAGTGTGGTGGGGCACGCACGGCTTTAAGCTCAGCACTCAGGAGGCAGAGGCAGGTGGCTCTCCAAGTTCCAGGCCAACCTGGTAATGGGAAGTTCCTATGATAGGAACATAGGGAGTTCTAAGATAGCTAGGTCTATATAGTGAGACCCTATCTTCAAAAAGAAAAAAAGACGAACATGTAAATGAATACTTAGTAAGTAAATCTTGAAACTCACTCGTTTATATAAGGTGAGTCAGAACTTTAGAGGTGGTATGATAGGATCAAAATGTTGTAATCTATTGCTATATGTGACTTAATGGATAACGTATAAAACTGATTTTGGACTCTTACATGGTAGGAAAGGTTTATGGATTTTGATTGTTCCTTTTGAACTTTTTATGTTTTATTATTTATTGTATTTATTTTCATTTATGTGTGTGTGAGAATATGTGCTAGATGTGTGTGCGCGCTCTTGGAAGCCAGAAGAGAGCTTCAAGTCCTCTGGACTGGAATTACAGGCATCCTCTGCCTGATGTGGATGTTGGGAATGGAACTCAGGTCCTCTGCAGAACAGTAATGTACTCTTAACCACTGCGCTATGTCTCTAGCTCCTGAACTTATCATTTATTACTTTCTTTAAAAAAAAATAGTTAGTCTTCTGGGATGGGGATATACCAGGGTTATTTGACATACTGTTTATGGAGAATTGTATCTTTGCATGTGAACTTTGATACTGGTTCAAAATGAAACATTTTCCATTGAATACTATATCAAAATTTTGGGCTCTTATCTAAATAGGCATGGTAGCCACCTTAATATAATATATTAAAGAAGAGAGGATTTGACTTTCTGTACTTCTTATAGTAGTCCTTGGCTTTCTTGTTCTGGTCTTCAACTGCCCTTCAGTAAGCCTTACATTAAAACCAGATTTTGAAAGGCACAGTTGGGAAACTGTCTCCGTCCCTTCCCTTCAGTTTATAAAGGGTATGTTCACTTCCAAACTTCTATGTGAGTCTATGTCTGTTAGTCATATTAGCTAGCCATCTCATTTTGAGAACATTGAATAATAATAATAATAATAATAATAATAATAATTATTATTATTATTATTATTATTATTATTATTATTATTATTTCTGAGATAGGGTTCCCAGACCTTTACTCACTTTGTAGACCAGGCTGGCCTTGAACTCAACAGCAATCCAACTGCTTCTGCCTCCCTGAATGCTGGGATTAAAGGCATATGCTACTGAGCCTGGCTTGAAAGTTTACAGTATTTTCCATTGCTTGAAAGACATGACAGAATGCCCCATGGAGTTTTATTTTATAGGCCCTGATCCAGGAAGCAAATGAGCCATGTTAACACTGGAAAGTTTACTTAGAACAAGTCTGTCAAACCATGGGAAAAATATAGACTTTGAAGTATTAAATATTGGGAAAGATGGGTGCTTTTTTTTCCTTCTGCTTTCTGGGTGTGTTTCATTATTCCCCTGAAATAGCATTGTCTTTGTTATAAATATATAACTGATGCAAAGATCATCTGTCTTGGGTCTCCAGCTCCCATGTTGAGGGTACAGTGAGGACTGGATGGTAGAGGGTCACCGCTACTTTGTGTGCTACCTGTTTGCTGATGTTGGGCAGTCTGACCTTGCTGCTTGGCAGTGCTTTCTATAAGCCACACTGTCTGCCAGTGCCTGTGATCCTGTCTTTGCGCAGAAGTTTACTGAAGATTGCCTTGTGGTGGTCAGGTGTAATAAGAGGCACTGATTAGTGCACTGGAGTGGTGTAGTAATAAAATGGCACTCTCAATGCCTCTGGTGTGTCTGACTTTGGGGAGGCTCCTTCCAGTCCTCTCTTGGCTTTGTGCAAATAGTACACTGTGATCTACAGCTGATTTTTAACGTATCTTGGTTCTCTATAAAATTTGTTTAAGACTAAGCAGTTAGCTTTGATGGTATACCCCTTAATCCAGGAACTCAAGAGATGGAGGCAAGGTAGATCAGGAGCTCAAGGTCAGCCTTCACTGTATAGCGAGTTTGAGGTCATCCTGGGCTACAAGAAATGCTGTCTCAAAAATGGGGAGGAAGTGGGGTACGGCTGGGTATGGTGGGCATGGAAGGCATAGGCAGGCAGTTCTCTATGAGTTCCAGGCCAGCCAGAGTTACACCATGAGATTCTGTCTAAAAGAACATTTTAAAAAGACTGAAGGTTAAATGTGTTGGAGAAAGGCTGATGTTTCCTAGGGGTCTATCTCTGATACTTTGATGTATTTTAATTTAGAATAAGCAACATAAAGAACAGTCAAAATTCTTTTGCTGTTAGGTGGAATATTCCTAAGAAAAGGACTCAGGCAATAGCCACTTGTGTTGGAATTTGGTCAGATGTGCTCAGATAAATTATACAATTTTTTTACTGGTCTACAGTGGAAATAAGGCATCTTTAAAAAGTCAAATGTTTTAAAAGAAATGTGGTGTGATGCCATGATCTGGAGGACATAAAACAACAAGGACTTATTCTCACATGTTACCTGTGATTAACTACATTTTCTTTTGTTTATTGTATTTCAGCACAAAGACATTAGCAGATTGCTGGTTTCTTGGACGTGTACCGCAGTGACAGAACAACAGAGCATCAGGACTGAATAAGATTGGAGTTTTAAGCTGCACTAAGAAGTAAATGTTAAGGCAGTGACTAAAACCAGTCATCAATACAGGGGCACTTGCAAAGTAGACTGAATGGAAGAAAAGGTATTAGGGAATATTTTATATATATAAAAGAAACAAACTGCTGCAATAAATTATGCATGAGGTGAGGAGAAAAGTGATAACACAGGTGCAGGATGCACTTGAGTGTGATGCTGAAGAATCACTGACAGTAGCTTCTTTTGAATGTGACAGTAGTTGGGACAGGCCTACCAGGCATGGGACGGTGCAGGAATGTGGAATTGTTTTGCATACTTAACCTTTGTGCTTTCTCTAAGGATTATGTTTATGAGTTCAGAAGTGAGCAGAGGTGTGTTTAAAATGGCACTCCTGTGAAAGAACAATGGTCACATGTGCTAAGGCCAATGTTTCCTTCAGGGTGCCAGTAGAAACAAGAGGAAGATGATCTGACATCCTGCTGAAAGGATGGTTAAGTGCCCCACCCCACCCACAAGTAAAATGTTGATCTTTTCTTTCTTTTAATAAAACAGGGCTGTATTATCTTGAATATATGTTTGCTTGTTAGAACATAATAAGATGTATTTATTTGCCACTAGTATTTAACATTTTGTGCACATTTTCATAACCACATTCTTACCTTTTCGTATTTTGACCCCCAAGTGGATAGGCTAATGTTGATCTTGGAATGAAATGGTACACTCCCAAGAACTAGCTCATAATTTTCCTGAGCTGGACAGGCTTTTATTACTGCCTCTCCCCTTACTGAGTGGTGCTGTTGAGAAAAGGTGACAGCATCAGTGTTGATCTGCACCTCTTTCCACAGCAAGAAGCCCCTACTTTTCAGTGCAGAAAAGTCTCACAGGTGTCTAGAGGAATTGGCCCTGGGGGACAAGTGGCAGAAACAGATCCATGAAAGCAGCCTAAACTTTTGGTACATCAAACATGAATTCTTAACCGAGACCACAGATTTTTGTCTTTGGTAAATACATACTATGAAACCCCTTAATTTTTCTTGTTTCATGAATGGAGAACACATGAGAAAATCCGATGGACCTGCTAGTACTACATTTTTAAAGCATTTTATATTTGATGGTGCCGTAATTTTAATAATAAAACTGAAGATTTTTAGTGGCAATACTGATTTATTTTTTAAACCAGAAAGATAACACCATATTGATTACTTACTACAAAAAGAAAAAAAAAAAAAAAAGAAAAAAGCCAAAAAGAAAAAAGAAACTTAACTCACAAAACCTATTCAAAGCAACACAACTGATGAAGGAGCACTTGGCTCAAGAGTTCACTTTCTGATCTTTCTGTGTGGGTGAGGTTACCCAGCAGCCCATTGCTCAGGGTTAGAATATGCTCTGGGTGGTATTTTTACATCATTTACTATAGCTGACTGTGATTTGATTTGTAACTCAAGAAGAAAAGCCGGGTAGTCTGGAGTCTAGTGAGCTTAATTCAGACCCTAACATATTGCAAGTGCTGGGAAATCCTGACTGCATTTTACAGTGATCTCTTTGGAGACTTCCATACCATGACATCATCTTATCAAATGGGCTCAGGAACTATAACAGCAGGGAGCTGTGGGAAAGACTTGAATCACAGCTCCAGGCTCTGGGGTCAGACTTGTCTTAGACCCCCAACACCAGCAGTACCTTTCATGCTCACTCAGGAACCAGATGTCTCCCAAGCCATGTGGAATTATGCATGGATTGTATCAGGAAGACCTTTAAGCTTTAGAAATCTTTATCTGTAGAGTGATGGAATTGACCAAAAAATAAAAAAAAATAAAAAAAAAATTAAAAAAAGTTAAAAAGGCAGAAGCACTGGGAGAGATCAGGTTTTGAAAAATCTACATATTTTTTTCTCATGACAAATCCTTAAAAGCATTTTAATACAAACTAGATTTTCATTTATAAAAAAAAAGACAGTGGTATTTAAAATCTAGGCCTACCATGTTACAGCTTCATTTCTATTGCTTTAGTTGCTTAATATTTAAGCTCTGCTTCATGCTACCTTTTGTCTGTTATTTAAAATCTTCACAGGCCTATTTTATTTGTAGACTTGAATGACACATTGTTTCTCACCTTCCATCTGCTCAGAGTTAAATGTTAAAGAATGTTGTGTAACGTTATCCAATAAAGTCATTGATTTTTTTTTAATTTAATTATTTAAAAACTGTTTTACTATGTAGAGGTTACCTTTAAAAGTGGTTTTTATTTTGTCTTTGTACTTTAAATCCAATCCAGTTTTGTGTTCGGGAAGTAGTAATGTGTCCTAAGAAGGACATGCAGGTTTTGGTCACTAAAGGCTTTATGGGATTTCTTCTCACTAGAGGTAGAGGCCAGCCAGCTGCACAGTTTGATGAGGGCCCTGTATACAAAGACTGCTCTTCTGTTTGAAGCAGCCTGCCCTATACAATTGGGGTGACTACACAGTATTGGTAGGTTTCTTTGATTTTAACTGTAAGGAGTCCATAGTTGGGTAAGATGGCACATGGGGACTGTAATCTCAGCACTCGGGGTTATAGTTTAAGATCATGCTATACATATATCAACTTCAGGCTCCCCTACCTCCCCCACCCCCCAAGTCCCTAAGGAGGAGTCTTGCCCATACAGACTGATTCCTACCATAGGTTATAGGATTGACCTGTGAATGAAAAATTCTTGGTTACTAGGAAAATAAATAGTTTCTGAAAACTGGCTGCCTGGTTCTACAGAGGATATGTGGAATTTTTAATGTCAAACACTGGTTGATTCAGTTTACCTGAATATCCATAAAAAGGAGCCACTGGAGTCTGGGATCAGTTTATGAGATACAGCTGCCAAGAGCACATTATTCAGGGTGGTCAAACCATGCTTGCAGACAGTGTGTCCCACAGATAGCCAGCAAGCCCATGTCCTCAACATCTAAATGCTTCTAACCTCATTCTCTTCTTGCATCCCTGGCCTCAGGGCTGCTGTACTATCTTGCTTCAAGTCCTAAGTTTCAAGGTGACAACACTGACTGGAAGCTGCATTTTGTTGGCTTATGATGTGACAAGCATGAGCCCAGGTGATGGCCCAAGGTGAGTGTTAGTACACACCCACAGCAGAGCAGTGCCATTCTTTCAGCACAGCTGTTTCCTCATGAGCAGTTTCCTTCATATCTGTCGTGATGACCAAATGGCCTCTGACTCTCAGGGCCTGAGAGCAGTTCTAGCAAGGGAACTAGGCAGCTGTGACCTGCCCAACAGTCACCACCACAAACTGCTCTCTGTAGGCTGCCATGGCAGGTATTGGGGCGAGAATAGGCCTATGCCCAGAGTGAAGGGAAGGAGGATATGGGATGTTTTTAAGTTTTGGCTTGGCAAGCTTCTGTATGATGAGCCTTATTCATAGCTTGGAGGTGTGGGAAATTGAAAGTAATCTTTAAAATATTATCCCTATCCAAAAGAATTGTAAAGGTGGAGGCTGGTGAGATAGATGGCTCAACAGGGGAAGGTGCTTGAAATTAAGGCTGTTTTGAGTTTGATCTGTGTGACCCACAAAGTTGAGGGAGAGAATTGACTCCACAAGTGTTTTCTGACCTCCACACAGTGCTGTAGCAGGCATTCATGAACATGCACACATACATAAGTTTTTTTTTAATGTATCTTTTAAAAAAATTCATGTAACTCATTCCCAGCTTCAGTAATTACCAGCTTTCGACCAGGGAAGTTGAAGTTCTTGATGCTTTGAAATATAAAAGGTATTTTTAACCTTGGAGGGTTTTATGAAGTCATTCACATGTTCTGAGGCTAGCTTAGTCCTTTTTGGTCTCTTCCAGTTATGAACTCTGGAGTGGGCTCATGTCAGACAGGAAGGAATTAGAAATGTTAGTATTCCCTGTACAGTATACGGAAGAGACAGAATTCCAGCCACTTCTTCGAACAATGAGACAGGAGTTCACTATAGCGTAGGCTAGCCTCAACCTTGAGCCTGTTCTCTTACCTCAGTCCTAAATTCTAGGATTAACAGTGAGAGCCACTATGTCCAATTAAGGTGCTGTTGTATGTATGTATAGTGGAATACACATCCATAGCATTTGTGATACTAAAACTGACCATAGGCTTCATACCCACTAGGCAAGCCTGCCATTGAGCTGTAACTCCAGCACAAACTTTAATTATTTAGGTTTTTATCTATTCAGTTATTTTTTAGATAGGGTCAAAGGCTGCCTTCACCTCAGTTCAGCCTGACTGCTTCCTGAGTGCTGTGATAAAAGTCATGCCTGGCCATTAAATATTTTTCATTTTATGTGAATGAATATGTTACCTGTATGTATATGTGTGCTATATATGCAAGGCTGGTTTCCATAGAAGTCAGAAGGCATCAAATTCCCCGAAACTGGAGGTATGAATGGTTGTGACCTATTCTATAAAGTGTGTGTGTGTGTGTGTGTGTGTGTATAAAATGGGTGTTGAGCTATATAATGTTTATTATTATTTGCCCAATTAAGGTGGTATTATTTAACCCACTATCACAATAAGGCAGACACCTGTTAGATTTTGTAATTGTCTATTTATTTACCTTGGGCTGGGCAGATATTTCACCTACACAGTCTCAACAACCTCACTATCCACCTCCTAGCCCCCATCCAATGCCATCTGCCTCAACCATTCTTGTCTGTGCTACCTCCCATCCATAATCTTCTGAATACTTGCTTATATTTGGTGGGTTTTTTTTTTTTTTTCCATCCATACCATTTTTGGAGACTAATCCATCATGGTGTTCTCCTCCTCTCTCCTGTCTGTCTTTCCCGTGATTCTCCTTAGCTACGCCTATGCCATTCTTTCCTGTCCAGCTTTTAGGCCTTTAATCAACCAATCGGGTATAATATGTTAGGTAGCTTTACACAACAAAGATAGGTTTATACAGGCAATAACCAGATCTTGAAGGTCAATAGTTAACACCAAAACACAAGCGTCAGACCAGCCCTCAACAATGTAGGTTCTGGGAATTAAACTTGGGTAGCCACCCCCCAACTTCTACACTGATGAAACAGGGTTAACTATGTCACCTTGGCTGTTGGCCAGGTTGGCCTCAAACTAAAAGATCTCCCTGCCTCTGCCTCCCAAATGCTGAGATTAGTGTGTACCACCAAGCTTCAGCTTCCAACTTTAATTTTTGAAGGGAACCTAGATGATAGAAGAATTGGGCTGATCAAGGGTGGAGGTGACGGGCTGTAAAAGACCACAGCCACCAAACTTTAATTCAGAGAGATTTTTGCAAAGGTTGTGTGGGTGTACAGAACCTACATTATATATAGGACTGTATTTAGAGTCTTAAGAAAGGTAGGGGCTGAATGTTGGAGATGTCTAAATATTTGGGAGGCAGATCTCCTAGCTTGAGGCTATCCCTATATTCATAGTGATTCTAGACCAGCCAGAACTGCATAGGAGACCTTATCTGAAGAAGAAAAAAAAAAGGGGGGGGGGAGGGCTTAGTAAGAAGAGGCAGAGTAAAGAAGTGGCCATGGAAGGGCAAACGAACAGAGAGGTCCAGGTCTGGCAGCTGCCTCTGATGTAGGCTAACAGGACTGCTGCATTGTATTAAGATCGGCCTGCTGAACCCCAACAACTCTGGCTGTGCATTTGATCCCAAGAAGCTTAGAGGAAAGCCTAGGTAAGAGCAAAACACAGAGGCTTGGCACTGCCTTTTCCTGTGCAGTATCTGACTTGTACTGTGGTTCTTAGAAGTTAACTGGACAATCTTCTCATAAAGCCTTCATCCAGGACCCAGCACTCAGGAAACTGAAACAGGAAGATCTTGAATTTGAGGCCAGCTTGGGCTACAATGGAAGCTGCTGTCTAAAAAGCAAGTTCAACAGGACAGGAAATTGAAGGTCATCCTTAGTTACATACTAAGTTCAAGGCCAGTCTGAAATACATGAGACCCTAACTCAAGGAAAGCCCCATCGCCCCAGCAAATAAAGCTACCATTAACTTGCACAGCTATTTCAAGTCTGCCTCTTGGGTTCCTATCATACATACTCTTCCATTTTGACATCCTGGGCCCTGCTAAGCTGGTTGTAAAAAGCAGGGTTTTCAATATACAGACTGCAAAACCAAATCTTTCAGGTATATGTTTAACACTTGCTCTTAGTTGCCACCCTGCTCTCTATTGAGAATGCCACTGAAAAGCCTAAATTACCCCGGATACTTGAATACTGTGTGAACTGATTTTCAGTAATTTTAGAGGCAAGATCACCAACTCATAGCATCAGAAAATCTATTAGCCCATCCAGCAGTCTTTTTTTTGTGTGTGGTTTTTAAATTTTTATTACAGTTTATTCACTTTGTATAACAGCTGTAGCGCCCCCCCTCCCCAATCTTACCCTCCCACTTTCTTCTCCTATGCCCTTCCCCCAGTCCACTAATAGGGGAGGTCCTCCTCCCCTTCCATCTGACCCTAATCAGGTATCATCAGGACTGGCTTCATTGTCTTCCTCTGTGGACTGGTAAAGCTGCTCCCGGCCTCAGGCAGAGGTGATCAAAGAGCCAGCCCCTATTCCCATTACTAGGGACCCTCTTGGACACTGAGCTGCCATGGGCTACATCTGTGTAGGGGTTCTAGGTTATCTCCATGAATGGTCCTTGGAGCATCAGTCTCAGAAAAGACCCCTGTCTTTTTTGGTTCTGTTGCTCTCCTTGTGGAGCTCCTGTCCCCTCCAGGTCTTTCTATCTCCCCCTTCTTTTATAAGATTCCCTGCACTCTGCCCAAAGTTTGGCTATGAGTCTCAGCATGTCAATAGAGAAATGCTCAATATCCTTAGTCATCAGGGAAATGCAAATCAAAAGGACACTAGATTTCACCTTACACCCATCAGAATGGCTAAGATCAAAAACTCAGGTGACAACACATACTGGAGAAAGGGGAACCCTACTCCTATGCTGGTGGGAATGTAAACTTGTACAACCACTTTGGAAAGCAATCTGGTGTTTTGTCAATTAGCAATAGTGCTACGTCAAGATCCAGCTATATCACTCCTAGACATATATCCAAAAGATGCTCAAGTATACAACAAGGACATTTGTTCAACCATGTTCGTAGTAGCTTTATTATAGCCAGAAGCTGGAAACAACCCAGATGTCACTTAGTTGAGAGGAATAAATACAGAAATTGTGGTACATTTATACAATGGAATACTACTTAGCAATTAGAAACAAGGAAATCATGAAATTTGCAGGCAAGTGGTGGGATTTAGAAAAGATCATCCTGAGTGAGCTAACCCAGAAGCAGAAAGACACAAATGATAATACACTCATTTATAAGTAGATATTAGACATATGGTATAGGATAAGCATACTAAACTCTGTACACCTAAAGCAGCTCATCAAGGAGGACGACTCTGGGTAAGATGCACAATCTTCCTTTAGAAAGGTAAATGGGACCAACAGGGAACAGGACAGAAGCTTATCACAGAGGGCCTCTGAAAGACTAAGCCAACATTCTTAAAGTGGTCTACCTTATAATTGTATCTGAGCAACTTTGAAGAGCCAGTATCTGGGCATTTTGCTGAGGTTTAGATGTAGGCCCACTACTGTAACATGAGTCACTAGTCAGGCTTAGCAACTGCCCAAGCTCTGTATCTGGACATAGTGTAATGTTCTCTACTTAGAAGCACGGCTGTAATGGGAGTAGATGTGGCTGCAAAGTGGTGAAAACAGGCACATGCAGAAAGAGAAAACAGTTGAACCATGCCTGGGGGTTCAGGTCTGTCAACCGAGGCTGAGATAGGAAGGTTGCAAGTTGAATGTTAGGGCTACCGAAGTCTAAGCTGCCTAAGACACAAGACAAAGGCCTAAGGATATAACTCGGTGGAGCACTTGCCTCTTATGTCCAAGGCTTGAGTTAAATCCCTAGCGTGGGCAGTCAGGATTCTAAGAGGGGAAGTTTGTGGCTATAACAGTGGTATAACGTCACAATCTAAGTAAGATTAAGTAATCTATGGTGAATGGTATACAACATCACAAGAGTATGAATGTGCTGTAGAATAGCCCTAAGTATGGCCAATGGAAAAGTACCTAGTTAAAAGTCACTATATGGTATGGTATGGTACACAGGAAACGATGGAAATATAAACAGGGGTGGAGACACTGAAACTGCAGGACAGATGGGACTTCTAAAGACTCAAGACAAAGTCTTACAGATAACCAAGATGTGAAAACTTAACTGGAGTCAAGCATACAACTAAGGATGTTCTACATGACCAAGATAGAGCAGAGTAGCTTCAAGTGACCTCTTAGAGAATCTCTGAGCTTCCTGCATATAACTTCTAGACTAACTGCTGAGCAATCCCAGTGCACACTTGCCAGCATTACAGTTTGCCCAGTACACTGCTATAAAGTCTTCTGGTGGGGCCATCCATCCATCCATTTACTTATCTCTGGTAGGGTCTCACTGTGTAGCCGTGATTGGCCTGGAACTCACATTCTGCCTCTGCCTCCGGAAGGCTGGGATTAAAGGCTTGTGCCACCATGCTAAGCTAGTTAAGTAGTTAGTATCAAGTCCTTTCCTGGATATACAGAGGAAAAATATATCGATTCACTGGCCTTTTACTGCCTCCCAGTTATATCTGTGGAACATGAAAAAAATCACCCAAGCCTTCTAGACTTGATACTGGGATTACTTTCTAGGTCTTTAAGATGAGTGTAGTGGCACATCTGCAAATCCTAGCATTTTGGGAGGTGGAGGCAGGAAGATTAGAAGTTCAAAACCATCTTTGGCTACATAGAGAATCTGAGCCTAATGTAGGCTGAAACCTTGTCTTACGAAAACAAAACCAGGGGTGGAGAGATGGCTCCAAGGTTAAGGGTACTAGCTCCTCTGAGGTCCTGAATTCAATTCCCAGCAACCACATGGTAGCTCACATCTATAATGAGATCTAGTGCCCTCTTCTGGTGTGCAGGTGTACATGCAGATAGAACATTGTATATGTAATAAATCTTCACGAAGAAAAAACGAAATGGACAGACTCTGAAGTCCTCTGGGTTTACATTGTTAGTATCTCTTGTGGAATCCCCTGGTGCTAAGCATATAAACATGGTCCGCCCATCTAGTAATCACAGTGTCCTTACAACAGCAGACTAACAGATCAAAGCTTGCTCCTCTAGTGCTGGGAGTCAAATCAATACTCACACATGCTAGGCATTCACTCTGTCACTGTGCAGTAAGTAGTTCCACCCTCAGCTTATATTTTAGGGAATGTCTCAGTTTTTATTTTTTGAGGTTGTCGCATGTACATGGCCTTCTGTCTCCTTTCTCAAGTCCTCGGTTACTACAGGCATGTGCCACTGTGTCTAGTTTTTCAAAACAATTCTAAAAGGAGATTGAAAATTAACTTTTTACCCTCTGCAATATTGCTGGGATTGGAATACATATGACATTAGGTGAGCTGTACATCTAGCACTTTGGGAGGTTGAGGCAAGAGGATCAGGAGGCCAGCCTGCCTACAAGAGGCCCTTGTCTTAAAGAGCAAACAGAAAAAAAAATGTTAATTCAATTACCTTATTAAAGGTAAACTCTGGGGTCTAGGCTGTAGCTCCATGATATAGTGTTTGGTCAGTCTACACGAGATTCTGCTCTCAATCCCCAGCATTCCCAAAGAAGTAAATTCAGGTGCACCATTTTTGGTGTGGGGAGAAATCACAGAATTTTCAACTCAGAAATAAGCAGTAGTAGAGAAACATGAGCCACCTTTCTACTTTACATGCCTACTTCAGCCCCATTTCAAGATTTGGTATTGCCAAACATTTCCAAAAGCTGTGAATCTAACTTTTAGATTTGTGGACTGGGCTACAGGCTCCTGAGCAGCCACAGAGATCCTCCCTTTCCTCTCTGGAAGCACACATACCTGTTTCCTGGTGCATGCAACTCTGGCTTCCCTCAGTATTCTCTAACATTTCTGTTTGAGGGCTGGAGGAAAGGTCCCCCCAATACCTGGACTCAGGAGGTGGGTGAGTGAAGTAAATAGCAAGCAGGAGGCACAGACAGGGAAATCTCCGAGTATGAGGCTAGCATAGTCTGCTGGGCTGTAGGCCAGCAAAAACTTAAAAGATATCTGACATCAACTTCGGGGCTACACACACTTGCTCTTGCATGTACACATGCATACTTATGCACACAAGCAAAACCTCTATACCCTGCAGCAATGTCTGTATCAGGAAATGTAACCTGGAAATACTTCCTTTCTGTGGGGTACAGATACATCCTTTACAAAGGGCTGGAGAGACATTCAGCAGTTAAGAGTTCTTATTGCTCCTGCAGAGGACCCAAGTTTAGTTCCTAGCACCCACATGGTGGCTCACAACCAACCAAGACTCCAGTTTCTGGTCTGTGAGCCCCTGCATGCACATGGTGTTCATAAACTCACATAAGTACACACATACATGCACAGAGGACTTGAGGTCCTGTCATGTTCCTGGATCTCTCTGAAAGCCTAGGGAGTTAGCAAAGGGAAGGTGTGCAGTGGTGACTCTTGATTTGCCAAGCCTGTCTTCCAGACTGAGACTTAATCAGCCTGGACCTTGTGGCAATCCTTGTGCCTCAGGCTCCCAAGTGCTGCCGTTGAGGTACTACACTCAGCTCTGCTGGCTACATGTTACATCTGGCATCCAGTTTCCCTGAATAGGGTATATGTGAACCCTCCCCCACCCGATACACACACACACACACACACACACACACACACACACACACACACACA